TGAGTTCTTTCTGAAGTCAACTTAATTTCATGTTACCGATTGAGATATAAATCATTGTAGCAATATTCAACAAGTTTTTCAAAGAGCTTGCAATCAAACATACACACGGAATATTGGGCACCTTCCAGCCATGTCTACTTAAGAGACATACCCTTCATTTATCAAGTTCCTAATAGAACACCTATAAGCACAATTAAAATAAAGGGGTAAACTGGACAACTGAGGTTCACCAGAAGTCCACTTCATTTAGTTTTACCGATTTTTAATATAAACCATTGTCACAATATTCAGCAGGTTCTCAAAGTGCTTCCAATCAAACAACCACGGGAAATGTTGGACAACTTCCAGCCATGTTTCTTGGAAACACACCCTTCATTAACAGGTTCTTAGTAGAACATCTATAAGCACATTTAAAATCAAGGAGTAAACCAGACAACTGAGGTTCACCAGAAGTCCACATAATTTAGTTTTATCGATTTTTTTTTATATAAACCATTATCACAATATTCATCAGGTCCCCAAAGAGCTTTCAATCAAACAACCATGGGGAATGTTGGACACCTTCCAGCGTTGACCTCTTGGAAACATACTCTTCATATATCAAGTTCCTAACAGAACATCTATAAGAACAATTAAATCGAAGCCATAACCTAGACAACCGAGTTCCATCAGAAGTCTACTTCATTTTCTTTTACTTTGATTTGTCTATAAACCATTGTTAACTATATTCAGCAGATTTTTCTGAGAGCTTCTGGGTTGGACTGCAACCTCTTGTCACTGATTCTATACTGTATGAGCAGGGCTGAGAAGCTGAACATAGTTATTGTAAGCTGACTTAAAGCAGAGTCCACCTGAAAAAAAAAAAAAAGTGAGCAGCTACGAAAACTGTAGCTGCTGACTCTTAAAATATAGACACTCACCTGTCCCTCGGTCCAACGGTGCCCTCACCACCGCTGATTTTGCCAGCCATCTTCTCTCTCTGGCATCGGCATCTTCAGTGTGGGCATCCAGCTGTGACAGTTTGTGGCTTCACAGCCGAGAGCCCACTGCGCATGCACGAGAAGTGCTGCGCTTTGTGAATGGCCTCGTAGTCTTCTGGGACCTGTCACGTGTCCCAGAAGACTACAGGGAGGGAGAGGGGTGGACAACTTCCTTCCGCTTCCTAGGCAATCACAGCAGAAGTGGAAACGGGTACCGACAAATCTTTCTATGCCAAAGCTTTCCAGGTATTAGTTAAAAGCTAGGATGTGTATTAATGTAGCAGGGGAGTATGTAAAAAAACACATGCAGTTTCCAATCCTTGAAATTTGTTCTTTTATTATATAAACTCAAAAGTCCCAGTTTGACTTGAACGCCCCTCATAGCAATCCCAGTCCATATAGCTGCTTCTGGCACTTGCACAACTTATAGTCCCCAGCAAGACTTTTACTCACAGTGTCCTAGGAGCTATCTGCCACCCAACATCCACAGTTAGGTCCTTGATGGAGAAAAAAAGATCCTTCTCCAGACCAGGACTTCAAGACAGTGCCTTTCAGCAGATGTAATCCTTTGGCAATCTTCTCCAGGCCCTCAGCCCAGAAATGGCTGAAACTTGTTTTTTTTCTCAGTAAAGTTGCCTCCAAGGGCAGCAGCCCCAAGAAAACCAGAACCCTCTAGGGAAGGAAAAGAACATTCTGGCAAAGCTTCCCAAACATTTATCAGCTCCCCAGCCATCTTCTGGATGCCTCTTTCCAGGGATTGGCTATAGCATGTTAAATATTTACACCGGTCATTTGAATCTTGCTGCCCTATCTTCTGGAAACCTCAGAGCCAGGCAGGAGGAATCAAACTCTCGGCTCAGGAAACCGTGAACAGACCAAAACATTTAATCACTACTCCACTCACTACAGTGAAGCCAAAAACACAATTTAACTAGAGGAGGGTGCTACACCTAGCATGGACAAATGTAACTATACATATACCATGCCTGGCAAATGCCACTGGAAGCTGGAAATCACTGTATAGACACCACTACTCCAGTGATCTTCACTAGCTTCTGGTTTCCATGCTGAGCAGATGTCCCACTGAACTGTGAACACAGGAGGTTGGCCGCTTGGCATTTGTGCCGTTTTCTGAATGAATGCAAAACGTTCTCTAATTGGATGAGGTGGAGAGGTAGGGCAGTGATTTCATGCTGTCCGCCTCGTCCAATCAGAGAACGCTTTTCATTCATTTAGAAAATGCAAATCATTCTCCGAATGGCACCTATAATTCTACCATTTATCTCCAACTATATCTTCACCACTTATCTCCGACTACATCTCTACCATTTATTTCCGACTATATCTCTACCATTTATCTACGGCTATACAATATTGCTACCATTTATTTCCGACTATATCTCCACCACCTATCTTCGCCCACATCTCTACCATTTATCTCTGACTATATCTCCAAATACATCTCTACCATTTGTCTCCAACTACAACTCCATCACTTATCTACGACTACATCTCTACCATATATCTCCAGCTATATCTCTGCCATTTATCTTCAATTATATCTCCATCACTTATCTCCGACTACATCTCCAACACCTAACTCCCACTATATCTCCATCACTTATCTACAACTACATCTCTACCATATATCTCCAACTATATCTCTACCATTTATCTTCAACTATATCTCCATCACTTATCTCCGACTAATCTACAACACCTAACTCCGACTATATCTCTACCATTAATCTCCGAGTATATCTCTGCCATTTATCTCCGACTATATTTCCACCACTTATCTCCATCTACATCTCCAGCACTCATCTCCGACTATATCTCCACCACTTATCCCTGACTATATCTCTACCATTTATCTCTGAGTATATTTCTACCTTTTATCTCTGACTGTATGTCCACTATTTATCTCTGACTACATCTCTACCATTTATCTCTGACTACATCTCTACCATTTATCTCTGACTATATCTCTACCATTTATCTCTGTCTACATATCTACCATATATCTCTGCCATTTATCTCGACTATATTTCCACCACTTATCTTCATCTACATCTCCACCACTCATCTCCGACTATATCTCCACCACTTATCTCCGACTATATTTCCACCGCTTATCTCGATCTCCACCACTCATCACCAACTACATCTCCACTACTTATTTCCGACTATGTCTCTACCATTTATCTCTGACTTCATCTCTACCATTTATCTCTGACTAAATCTCTACCATTCTATCTCTGTCTACATATCTACCATATATCTCTGCCATTTATCTCCGACTATATTTCCACCACTTATCTCCATCTACATCTCCACCACTGATCTCTGACTATATCTCCACCATTTATCTCCGACTATATTTCCACCACTTATCTCCATCTACATCTCCAGCACTCATCTCCGACTATATCTCCACCACTTATCTCTGACTACACCTCTACCATTTATCTCTGACTACACCTCTACCATTTATCTCTGACTATATCTCTACCATTTAGCTTCATACACCCTTTGGATCTGTGGCATATTCTCTGTATGTGCATAAGGAATAAGCACCATGCACTTTATTTGACACCCACATATATGTGAATAATTAGTATGAAGATAACTTATCACTGCGACACATAACAAAGGAAAATCTCCCCAGTGAAAATCTCTTTATGTCTTAAATAGCTCAATTTCAAATCTTGTTTCCACCGTCTGGTTAATCTAGGCCAGGCCTTCTCAAGTACGCTCCAAAATACAAGCTGACACTTACAAGCTCTGAAGTACCAGGAGATAAAGTCTGAAATGGATCTGGGAACCTTGTTATAGAAACTATGAAATGAAGAGTCTGACAGATAGCGAGTACTTAAAGCGCTTTTGTATGTATTTATATACTTCCCGTCTATTTATACATTGCTTCCATTGGATGTCCCTTGCGTCTGTTAGGCACAACTCCCTGAAGATTCACGAGGAAAATTCTCGGAGCTACAAAACATGTTTATTCACAGGTTCCCCTCTTGCGATACTGGGCAGCTAGTCATAACCGGGCCTGGATTGTGTGGGCTAGGCTTTGGCAGGCAGTGGTCATTGGCAGTGGTCATAGGTCATTGGTGCCACAGGCCAAGGAGGGCCTACGTTCTGAATTTGAAAGCAAACCTACCACTAGGAGTGCCAAGTTGAAATACTGTACGTACACTAGGTATCACGAGGTGCCACACACCATAAAATGCTAGAAAATCCATCGCTACAAGGGCCCTCAAGGCCATCTGCAGCATACAACCTTCTAGTTCAGCAAAGTCAACGCGGACATGTAGGACAATGCAATTAAAGGGCATCTCTAAATAGGTTGTTGAGGTCCTGCATTCCAGGGTGGGATACAATGGGCCATTTCTTAGTATCAACTGGAAATCTGCACACTGAAGGAGATAAAAGGTGGCACAAGGCACACAAATATAGTGTAGTAATTCATTGTTTGCTAACTATTCATAAAAAACATAAATACACCCACAAATCCAACAAGCAACCCTCACCCCCTACGTCCGTGGTGAGGTGAGGTGAGGTGTGGCATAACATGTATGTCCATGGGGGAACCAAAGCCAAAAGTAGAACAGAAGACAAAGAGTACGGGAGGGTTATAACCCCTGTCAGTTTCTTTTGCCGTCTTTGTTCAATTGGAGAGATTTCCCTTAACTTCCTGTCCTACAGCAAAACAGGAAGTAAGAGGAAATTCCTCCAAAGTATGGAAATCCCTGGATGTCACCATACCAGTCTCCCCATCAGATTTGTCCTCTATTACTGTTCTGGGGACAACCCAAAATTTGTGATTTTCTTTCACATTCAGTTTTTGTGATAGTGATATACAGGACAACTAGAGAGGGTAAACCTTCCAAATGGGGTCTAATTCCTCTCAACTCTATCCAAAAGAAAAAAGATATAGAAAGAGAGATAGATAGATAGATAGATAGATAGATAGATAGATAGATAGATATAGTGAATGCAGGGTCTGGGGAGACTGGATATAGTGAATGCGGGGTCCGGGGAGACCAGATATAGTGAATGCAGGGTCCGGGGAGAGCGGATATAGTGAATGCAGGGTCCAGGGAGACCGGATATAGTGAATGCAGGGTTCAGGGAGACCTGATATAGTGAATGCAGGGTCCGGGGAGAGCGGATATAGTGAATGCAGGGTCCAGGGAGACCAGATAAAGTGAATGCAGGGTCCGGGGAGAGCGGATATAGTGAATGCAGGATCTGGGGAGACCGGATATAGTGAATGCAGGGTCCGGGGAGACCGGATATAGTGAATGCAGGGTCGGGGAGACAAGATATAGTGAATGCAGGGTCCGGGGAGACCAGATATAGTGAATGCAGGGTCCGGGGAGACAAGATATAGTGAATGCAGGGTCCGGGGAGAGCCGGATATAGTGAATGCAGGGTCCGGGGAGACAAGATATAGTGAATGCAGAGTCCTGGGCTTAATAACTCTTTAAAATTGCTAGGAGTTGGCCATGGACTATAGTACCCGATAAGCTAATAAGAGAGGTTCCGCCATATTTTAGTGAAGGGATTTAGCACAAACATCTGTATAAATGTTGATAACTTCATTAAAGATCTTTTTTTTTTTTCTAAGTAATTTATCTGAGTAGTCTGTTCTAATATTTTGCATAAAATGTAAGTTGACCCATGCCACCCTGATTACCTTTACATTTTTAGAATAATCTCCAGAACTTAACCTAGATTTCTTAAAAGGAGCTAAACTTTATTCAGGATTATGTATAAGCAGGAACCATTCTTAGAAGTTACATTTTTTTTATACACCTGCAAAATGGATAAAGGAACGATGCAACAAAGTACTACCCAAGTTCTGGGTGATTGACAGATTCACGATGAATTAAAAGTGACTGTCAGAGGCTGATAATATGCTACAGGTGACTGTCGTAATGATGCGGAGAGGATTTTACTTGTAGCTGTAGGCTCTGTTCACACCATCGGAGTGCGGGTGCAGTTCTGCACGTCATCTGTAGGAGAGCCCATTCATTTCAATGGGCTGCCCTAGACGTGAGAAAGTTCTCAAAAGAAGTCCCTGGCCCTTTGGAGAAACTGCACCACACCGAGACGAATGGTGCCCCAGCACCAGGAGTTTTGGCAAAGATGGGCAAAATCAATGGCACCTAGAATTAGACGTTACACTTGAGGAAGGCAATAGGTCGTTTGCAGGGGGGGGGGGTAAACACCCCTGGGGCGAATGGGCTACTTACAAAGCCATCCACAACACTGCCCCTAGCTACATCACCAACCTCATCCACAGATATCGCCCAAATCGCCCACTCCGCTCCTCCCATGATATCCTCCTTTCTAGCTCGCTCATCACCTCCTCCCACGCTCGCCTCCAGGACTTCTCCAACCAAGTATTAAAAAGTGAAAGTTTGATTTACGATTATTATTCTGTCCCATTACTTTTGATCCCTTATCAAAGTGGGAGGCACATTTGCAAACTGTTGTAATTCCTACACCGTTCACATGATTTGGATGTAAATACCCTCAAATTAAAGCTGACAGTCTGCAGTTAAAGCACATCTTGTTCGTTTCATTTCAAATCCATTGTGGTGGTGTATAGAGCCAAAAATGTTAGAATTGTGTCGATGTCCCAATATTTATGGACCTGACTGTACATTTTGGCCTTGTCACAGTGGGTTTTTCTTTGTACTCCATATAGCCGACCTGCCTTATCTACAGCTCCTGGTTGAGATATGCCTGCTGATGCCCCTTCATGGCAGTTACCCCGTGGCAAATGTTTTGGATCTAGGTCCTTTTAAGACCTTTTACTATGTATGTAAATTTCTTTTAGATGGGGATGGTGAGGTAGCCCTATTTACGTTTTTGTTGTGGGGTTAGATAAGTTTGTTTTCTTGCTCTGTTTGTTTTTTTCTCTTTCTGCCTATCTAATGCAGGCCATAGACGGGTCGAAAATCGGCTGTTTAAAAAAAAAAAAACAAAAAACGTAAAATCGGTTGTTCGATCGGCAGACGTTACCACCAACGGTAAAAACATCAGCCCGTCTATGGCCGGCATTTAACCCCATAATTACTTCTGTCCCTTGCAGAGCCAGGGGAGCACACAGGGGAGAGAAGAAGGAAAAGAAGAAGAAGAAGAAGAAGAAGGAGAAGAAGAAGAAGAAGGAGAAGGAGAAGGAGAAGGAGGAGGAGAAGAAGGAGAAGAAGAGAAGAAGAAGGAGAAGAAGAAGGAAGAAGAAGAAGGAGAAGAAGGAGAAGAAGAAGAAGGAAGAAGAAAAGAAGAAGGAGAAGAAGAAGAAGGAGAAGAAGCAGAAGAAGTGGTTGCAACAAAAATGTATCCATTTGTATCCACTTCGGATACAGATGTTTTTATTCGGATACAAATGGATACATTTCATATAAAATATAATAGAGGACTGGAATTCTTCTTATTATTCTTTTTTTCTTCTTCTCCTTTTATTGCAGGTCACGGCTCATGCGCACATTTTTTATCGGTAAAACGATTGGCCGATTTACCAATCATTGCCGAGAAAATCGGCCACAAATTTTCCAACATGCCCGATAAAAAAAAAGTGCAAAAACCCCGAAAAATGGCCGACCAATTAACCCACTTAATGGTGCGAAAATCGGAACGATTTTTTTTTTAGGCCGATTTTCGACCCGTCTATGGCCGGCATTACTGACATGGTTTCTCCATAGACATATTTGAACCCTATTGTCCTGAAGAAGTTAACTTTGTTTCACAAAATGCACTGACTCTATCTATCAGCATTTGTATATCTAATTGAGAGACTATTATCAGCATTTGTGTACTTAATTGCAACTTCATGTGGAGTATATACTCATGTGTACAATTTTCACTTTTTTATTGTGTGATCAATGTATTCAGCTTTTAAAAAAAAATTTCGGAAAAAAGATGTATTATTTTATAAAATGTGGTATTTACTTTTTTGGTGTAGCTCAATAAAAGTCCTATGGGCATTTTCTATTTTTATCATTTCAGCTCTCCTCCCTCTTTTTTCTGACAGCTCAGGCAAGCTATACAAATTCTGGCCTGTGAATGGATGCGGAGAAGAAAGACTGCATATAAACAGGTAGAACTTATGTAGCAGGATTTGTTCAATCTCCGAGGCCAATCACTTCACGTGAAGGTTTAACAACCACTTTGAAACCCCCTGGCGGTATGATTCTTTCCGATTTTTTGTGCTGAAAGCGTACCATTTTTTTGCATGGAAATATGTAGTTTTTTATTGTAGGCCTGTAATTTTTAGGAATAACTCACTGAAATCTGTCCGAACAAGAGTCTATTAAACATCATGGGGATGATAAAATTTGAAACACGAAATCATAAATTATAATTTAATAAATAATCATAAAAAAATAATAATATAATATAATAATAATAAATTTAATTCAATAATATAAGAAGGAGAAAAACACTGAAATTTGAAATACAGAGGCAAATTCGCACATCGCTGAGCAAAGTCGCAGAATCGTTTTCAGTGTTGATGAGGAATTTCCCCCACGAATCATTATCACTCAACTTGCAAGTGGTTCTGATTTACTATCGCTGTTCTAAAACCGCTTTTGACATAAAGGGACACTTTTTGGACGCCATGGACTTTTCTCAGTTTCCAGGCAGAAAGAACATTAAAATGCAGGCAGGGCGCCGGAGAAAGCAGTAGGGACAAAAATATATGTGAAATGCATTGAAACAACAATGACAGCAAAAATGACATTTTTAAAAAATGTAAAATTTTCCGCGCTGGCGGCGCCCGTACGTCCCGACGTCCCAGGGACTCAGGAACACAGAAGCCGGATATCGGCCGGAGGAATGGCCGAGGACGCTGCAGGGGACACATGTGGGAGCGAAGGACAAGGTAAGCTCTGCAGGGACCTTATGAGCAACGCCACATGGTAAGCCCGAGTGTAGCTCGGGGTTACCGCTCTTGTGTATAGAAATTTTACCCCGAGCAACTCGGGATTACCGCTAAGGAGGTTAAAGTAGAACTATAGGTTGTTGTTTTTTTTTCATTTTGAATAGAGTAAGGAAGGGTTATAACCCCTGTCAGTTTATTTTTCACCATCTGTGTCCCATTGGGGAGATTTACCTCCACTTCCTGTCCCATAGCCAAAACAGGAAATGGGAAAATCTCTGCATATTAAGGGATATCCTTGTGGACCACCAAGTCACCAGAGCTAGTGTCCCGATTGGAAGATTTCCCCTCTGTTACTTTTCTAGGGCAAACCAAAATTTGGGGTTTCTTTTACTTTTACTGATGATAATGGTAAGCAGAACAAAAAGAGAGGGTGAATCTCCCAAACAGAGACACGGTCTGCAAAAGAAACCTAACAGGTGTCCTCATCCCTCTCTAGTCTATCCAAAACTGAAAAAAAAAAAAAACCTTTTGCCTTTAGTCCTACTTTAAGGGATAAGTAGACAAGAGTAGTAGACTTCAGCAATGACTTGAGGAAAGTCTGAAGGTCTGAGCATATATTATGTACATCCTGTATGCACTTCAAGACTTAATTTCCCATTTTTAGTGGGGTGTATTTTTTCATTGGAGATAATTAATTTCTTCACATCAACACAGCTGTTATCAGAACACCTTAGGGATACTTTCGACTATTTGCCTAATGCATCTCTGGAGGGTTGAAGCGTTGAGACCTGCCTGCTAGAATCCCACACCACGCACTCACGGAAATGCAATCCTTGTTAAGGAAATTACACTTATCTTTTTTCTTTCCCAGTTAGGATCAAATACATCTAAAAAATCCAACACCAAGACTAAGACCTCTTTGTACTAATCACTGGAGGCACCAAGACAAGGACTTCCTTGTAACAATTACTGGAGGCACCAAGAACAAGACCTCCTTGTATCAATCACTAGGGGCACCAAGATTAAGACCTCTTTGCAACAATGACTTGTGGGCACAAAAAAGGGAACTTCCTTGTACCCATCACTGAGGCACCTAGACCTCTTTGTAAATATCACTGGAGGCACCAAGACTAGGACCTCTATGCATCAATCACTGGAGGCACCAAGATTAAGACTTCTTTGCAGCAATGACTTGTGGGCACAAAAAAGGGAACTTCCTTGTACCCATCACTGGAGGCACCAAGACCAAGACCTCTTTGTAACTATCACTGGAGGCACCAAGACTGGGACCTCTATGCATCAATCACTGGAGGCACCAAGTACCTCTTTGTAAAAATAAGTGCACCATGACTGGGCTATTTATAACAATCACTGGAGCCTACTTTTGATAACAATCACTGGAGACACCAAAATTGAAACCTCCTTATAAAAAATTACTGGAGGCCCAAGACTGAAACCTCTTTGTAACAATCACTGGAGGCACCAAGACTGAAACCTTCTTATTACAATCATTATAGGCATCAAGACTGGGATATCCTT